CTTGTGGTTTTTGCACTTTAGCTTTTCTTTTTCTTTTGGAAATTACTAAATATTACTAAAAGATATGGTAATATAGAAGACGTGAATTATGCTTATGATAATATTTAATCTATATATGTTAGTCATAGTGTATTGTTTTCAATTATTTTGGTGATTTAATTTAAATTTACTATCTCAATAAGATACAATTAATTATTTTTACAATATAAGTTTGTACTATGCGACTGAAATTTCAGTTTCATTACAGAAAAAAACTACACACTAATCCATAGATAAGATGAAATTTAAAGAACACTAACAAAACTTAGACTTGTATTGAGATATACTATTTTTTATCAAGGTTTTGATAGTTCAAGAGTATGGATTTTATTAATCATGAAAGTTTAGAAAACGCATGTAGTTCTGATAAATTTGTTTTCATCTTAGAAACTCATATTTACCTACAAAATAAGTTTGAAGTCGTTGTATCTGCAAGAACTAATACGATAATAGCCCTTCGTTCACATCATCAATTTTTCTATACTATAATACACATAATTTAGGGTATCCCTCATTTTCAGGACACGTAGCTCTTGACAAATAGAGCAAAATTTGCTATCCCAGATATTGTCTTCGATGCAAGACTGAGATGAAAATGATAAAAAATGTCTTCTTCATTTCTTCGAGATGCTATGTTCGATCAAGCTGAAAATATTTTTACAGTCACTGAATAGTGTTTGGAATAGGTTTCTTTTTATGCTTTGTCCTTCAAATAGAAAAGTCAAAATACCAAAAGTATCCTTAACAAACACCTATTTTTATGAGTAGAATTTCTTTTACAGAGCTACTAAAAATCATTAGGACAATATTTTTTGAAATCAAAAAAAAAAAAAACATTACCCATCCGAAACAATACATAGTATCCGTGAAAAATTTTCTGCTTCTATCATGCTATGAAGAAACGAGGGTGTTTTTCTTCACTTTTTTTTTCATGAAGTAGTTCTTTTGAGAAAAGCACGAGACAATATACAGTTTTCGATAATTTAATTTCTTAATGTTTTTTACGTTTCAGCAATAACTTTTGGATCCCAAAATGTTCTTACTAAATAGATACTACTTCAGACTATACAATGGCTATAAAAAAACAGTTGCGTCACGAAAGGGAGTGGAATACTCTTATTTCAACAATTTGGAGCTTTTCTTCACGATAACTGATTATTCACCGTTAAAAATATTATTAATCTTCCAGTGACTTAATCTTATTAGAAAAAAAAACAATTTCGTTAATGATGGATTTATATGTAATTTTTATATAAGGGGACAACAGATTGACTGTTTTAGTATGTACCTGCGACATAGGAACAAATAATTATACTTATTCAAATTGCTGAATAAGAAGTATTTTGTCTTCAGTTTTAGATTCAATTTATTATTAGTTTGATATACGAGCAACGAATTAAATTCTGTAGATTTGAAATATTCTGAATGGCAAATAAAGATCAAGGTCGATGTTTTGTATGTAATGATGTTGCAATTGGTATTAATTTTGGCGTGCCAACCTGTATGCCATGTAAAGCATTTTTTCGACGAAATGCATCTCAACTTGGTGTAAGTTAACTTTTGATCTGGAATTATTTTCGAAGTTTTTCTTCTTTAAAGTCTCGTGAATTTGTATGTCAAAATGATGGTGATTGTATAATAACATATACATGTCGTCGTTCATGTAATTGTTGTCGTTTGGCAAAATGTTTTCGCGTTGGAATGAAAAAATCCTTTATACTTACTGATGAAGAACGTGAAGCTCGAAATAAACTTGTCGCAACAAACCGTCTCAAACGTGGAAAAGTACCAAAACAACGACCTATACAATGGGTATGTAGTATTTATACATATGCATAATTGAAAATTTCAAACTAGATTTTATTTTCTAAGCATGAATAAAAAAAGTATTGAGATAATGATTTGGTTATGTTACATGCCAATGCTAAATTAAAATTAAATTCTATGCATGCTTAAACTACGATATAGAAAAGATAAGATGGAATCGTCATACATTATAAAATAAGCATTGAACTATTCGATCAGAAATCTATACACACCCATGATAGATAGAATGAAAAAAATGTGTTGGCTTCGACACTGACAACGTCTGATATAGAAAAGATGTGCACTGAAATTAAACATTTTAGAAGTGTTTAAGAGTGTGATATAGTTGAAATCGTGCTAGAATTTGTTACATATGCATTATTATTGATTAGTATTGTAAGCTTTTTTTCACTTATTAGCTGTGCCGATGGCCCCGATTAAAATGTTTTTAATGTATTTCTCTCGATATATATCAAAAGAATTTTAACAAAGCATAGAAGAGAACCGATTGAAACGTGTAAATCCACATGTTTCGTTTTTGAGATTTTGATTGTCACCACGCAGGATACATCTTAGTCGATGTTAGAGATAGGCACAACTAATTTTAGTTTCAGCGAGTGAGTTCGGGACTATGAAAAAAAAGTTGTCTCAACCGGTACTGAAGATTGTAATTCAGTTTTTTATGGTTTTAAGCAAATAATGTAATAAATCACATTCATTAGAACATTATAATTCAAGAGAGATGACCCAAACAAATAGCTAGTCATCGATTAAAGATGTGATATAAATATATTATGGAATAGTTTTCTTTAGATCGAAACCAAAACAAACTTCGTCCGACATATCTTTAGTTGATGTTTAATATTTTTGATGTGTTGTAAGTTCAATTAGTGAAGAACAACTAAAACTGAGCAAGAAAAGTGATTGAGATTTAACAAAACTTTTACTAAGAGTTTAATCTCATCACATTCTTATTGTTCTGTAGAAAACAACAAGAATAATTTTTCGTCCTAAGTACTAATTGTAAAATACACAAACACATGTGTAGGCCAAATCGGAACATATTAGTTAGATCTCTATTAGTTCTCTTCAGCGTCATAGACGAAATATTAAAATTTCACTTACTAACATAAATCAGTAGAAATGTTTTCATAGTCTACAAATAATTCTTACTGTTTTACTTCTATATTTTTTCTTATAATTTAAAATATTGTGTTTTCGTTTAATATCTATAAATTTATTAGAAATATATATTTCTTTCTATTAACAGATGCAATCACCAAGATTACTTGGCATACCATTAAGTTCAGCTCAATATCTTTCTTCATCTGATGACGTTCTTCTCGCCAATATTTTCAATGCATATGAAAATACTTGTATGACAGCAAAAAAAACCCGATTTCAATCTTTTCCTGCTGTTCAACATACTTCTGTACATGAATTTTTTAATGAAATTTCTCATGCATTTCCCGTCTTTATAGAATATTTCAAAAATATACCTGAATTCAATAACATTATCGTAGATGATAGAATACGTTTACTTAAAAATCATTTTTGTATTATAGTTAATATTAATGAATTTTTAATGCATCCAGAAACATCAAGTAATCTTGTCGTAACATGGACAAATTTATTTGGTATTGATTTAACAGAACGGCTTTTGAAACGTAATCAATTACTTGAATCTTTTGTCTATGATTTAATTGTATTAAAACTTGTTCTTATTGTTCTTGTATTTTCAAGTAGTAATAGTAGAAATATTGATCAAGTAGATTTAGATCTAATCTGTGATAATCCATTATCTATATTTGCTGTTCAAAATATTTATGTTGAATTATTATGGAAATATATTTTATCACGTTCACCGAATGAAAAAGATGCCGTGAAATTTTTTAATAAACTAATGATGTGTATATTATATGTGCAAAATGTTGACATGTCTATAGATGGTTATATTAATGCTTTGAAACAAGAAATCAAACAGCTAGAGCCTATGATTCAAAACATGTGGCCAAAATCAGATCCTGAAGAAAACATTATTGATACGAACATAACTGAAAAAATTACTATGTTCTAATTAAATGATTGTTTAGTACTAATTATTATCAAAATAGAACATGATATGATTTATATTATATACATCTAACACTCATGGATTAAATATATATTAGTTTTGTATTATTAAGACTAAGACAGAATATTTAAGTACTCATAGTTACAAGTGTAGTCTTACCACTTATTTTTAGTTTATTCCTTTTTTTGCTTTTTACTAACGAAGTTTATTGTTAAGTTATATGCATATTAAATATTTATCTTTAATTTAGGATTTTAATAAACTTTCAGTGGATATGTATATACAGAGTGGACAATAATAAATGACCGACTTTCTTTTTGTTTGCTTCTTGGGAACAGTATAAAAATTTGTTTTGAAATTCATTCGACAGAGAAATTTGTTTCTCTATAATACAAAATGCTTTTGTTTCCATATCATATTTCTTGTTGTTACAAAGTTAAAAAACTTAATCTCTATTCAACGATTCATGTGCAACAGTGAAAAGAAAAACTGGTAGACATTTTCAGAAAAGATTTGGCAGGAAATTAACCATATACCTTTTTCGAAAATTTTGAAATAAAAGATTTGAACATATCGAAACGATACGATTTTTATTTTGTAATTGAAAGCAACAAAAAATATGTTAATTACGTATTCTATTGATAATTCCTACTTAATAACATGAAAATCAAATGTTGTCCAAGATGAATATGACTTTCAAAAGTATTTTTACCTAAAATGTACCGAAAAACAACAACAGATTTTTATTTGAAATCTTTTTGTATTCGATAACAAAGGCAAGAACATTGAAAAGATCGTGGATAAATAGATCAAAAAATTCTCTAACTTTTGATGTATAATAATTAACTTTTATTTTGTAGATAAATAAATTTTCTACTGAATGGACTTAAGAACAGATTTTAAAACGACCCTCAACTGTCACAACGAAGGAAACAAGAACTAGACATTTATTACGGATTAATCAGTACCTATGTTCATGATAGACTATGAGCAGTTTGCTTAGGCCTTTTAAAGTAGAAAATGACTTTTTGATTGAATTGGACTCCTCGATCGAAATAGAAAGTGTGTAGCTTTAAATTTATTTTCACAAGCTGCCATATAATAATGCAATTTTTACTATTGAAAATTTACTGACAGTCGTCACAAGAAGGCTCGCTATTGGGAAACAAGTATATCACTTTTTATTTTTTTGCCTGAAAATTTGACTACAAGTACCAACTCAAGATGGATCAGTCTTGATGCGACGAATTTAGGATGAAAGCAGTGCTTTTTTTCACGGAAGCCTGAAAAACATTTTATTGACACTTTTTTTTGTTCGCTATAATTTTGACACGTTATAACTCATTTTCTTATAAACAAATAAAGCTTTACATGTGTATATTGTATCACAGATCGGACACTTCTATCCACCGTAATTTTAAGGCGCCAGGAAATCTCTAGCGTCTTGGACAGTTTCAGCATGGATCTCATCTCTGTCAATGGCTAAAATCGTGAAATCTTCAGAAAAAAAGTTAATTTGAGCAGAGATCTTTTTTTGAGAAAGCTTCAAGGTAACTGGTTGAAGCTAACTGAAATTATGAATCTGTCTTTTCGACAAGTTCCAACAACTTTCATGTCAAGACTCCTCAAAGGTTACTTCACGAATCAGACGAAGTGAAACCGTTTGACATAAACTTTTTATATGTAATGTAAGCAGTACTGAGTTCTTGACTAAAAGCCATGAGATCTATTTCTTACGCTGCACTGAAATATCCTTGTTTGAAGAAAATTTCTATGTTAAACTTCTAATCGCTCCGAATATAAGCTGGTCAAGTTTAGATTGGTCCTTGTAATCAGCGTTTAACTTACTCTATTTGTAATTAAAATATGAGACCAAAAGATACAAATTTAGGTAATATTTTCACTGGTAGCGAGTCTTTTTACGACTGTCGGATGAAATCAATTTAGATTTTTTTTTTTGACTTCTCAAAATTCATTTCGTTCTATGTTATATAAAACCAGAAGAATCTTTAACCAAATAGAAAAAACGATAAAACGAGTATACGATGAATCATAGACACACTTATCAAAGACTAGTAGAACATGTATACACATAGGCAATTTTGGTGTTTCGTTTCTTTTTGATAGATAAAACAATAAAGAAATGGTCGACACTCAAAACCAAAGTCCATTTTATCAAATAAGTGATACAAAAAATACGGATTTATTACATGAACGTCAATCAGCAACATTCGATGTTGAACAACTTACACAATTTGTATTTGGTGGTCCAAAAAATTATTTCAATATAAATAAACGACGTCAACTTAGTAAGTTAAAAATAACATTAAAAATTATTATTCATTTCTTTCATTGTATAAAATTTTTTTAAATTTTTTATTTAGCTCGTTTAGCTTATGCACATCCAATTCATAAAACTCACTTACCATTGGAATATCTTGATGCTGATGAACATTATTCATTACTTATTCGTAAAAGTTTGACTGGTATTAAAGAAGCACAACGTTTAAATATAACTGATACTAAATATATTGGCTGGTTTTTAAGTATTTTTACAAATGGACGATTTATATTTGGTTTACATACTGGTATGTTTATTAAAACACTTGAAACAATGGCTAGTGATGAACAAAAAGAAAAGTTTTTACCCCTTGCACGTTCATTTCAAATAATTGGTACATATGTTCAAACAGAATTGGGTCATGGTTCAAATTTACAACGATTAGAAACAGAAGCTGTTTTTGATCGTACAACTGATACATTTATACTTAATACACCAACACTAACTGCAACAAAATTTTGGCCTGGTGCATTAGGTCGATCAACAAATTATGTTTTACTTATGGCACAATTATATACACCAGATCGAAATCATCCATGTGGTTTACAAATGTTTTTTGTTCAAATTCGAGATTTAAATACACATGAACCATTACCAGGTTAAATATTATGAAATTTATTTTCTTTTTAAATTTTTGTTTTTGTATTTAGGAGTAGAAGTCGGAGAGATTAGTACTCGATTTGCACATGAAGTTGGTGATAATGGATATCTTCGATTAACTAACGTACGAATTCCACGAAATCATATGCTTATGAAATTGGCCAATGTATGTATTATAGAATGAAACTAAACTAAACTAAAATTAATTTTTTTGTAATCTCTCTAGGTTGATGAACAAGGTAATTTTCATCGTCTTGGTGATCCTCGTCTTCTTTATGGAGCGATGCTTGCAACACGTGTTAGTCTTTGTGCTTTTTTTTCAATATTACTTGGTCGTGCTGTTACAATTGCTATTCGATACTCAGCGGTTCGACGTCAAGGACAAAATCCAAGCGGGTAATGTTGAAGTTGCTTTTTTCTTTCTTCAATTTTATCAAAACTTCTTTTTTTTTTTTAATAAAGAAAAGAAACACTTGTTCTTGATTATCCATTACAACAAGAAAAATTAGTGCCATGTTTAGCTACAACTTATGCATTCTTTTATTCCTTTATAAAACTGGAAAATCTACGTGCACAAATTTTAGACAGTGATATAATCTTATTTGAACAATTACCAGAAGTAATAATTGTTATTTAATTTTTTGTTTTTTGGAGAGCGTAGCAAATCTCAAAATATTATTAACTTTTCCTCCATCTCTTGTTGTTAGTTTCTGAGTTTTGACAAAAAAATAACTTATGATAAATAATAGAAAAAGCAAAAATCACTTATAAAAGAACGAGAAATATCGTGGCTGATGGCTAGTATTTTTCAGGGTACGGTGACAGTAACTATTTGTTTCATTACAATGACACACTCTTACGATAATCTCTAACTTAGAACAATCTATTATCCCTCACTTACCTTCGTCTTTACTTAAATCCTCAGTCGCATCTACTCCCACCCTCAACATGACTCTCGTTCTCTCTCTCTAGACAGAAAATTTCTAATTTCTTATCTGTCTGTAGAATGATAAAGTTTAAAAAAACAAATAATTACATTTATATTAGTTCAGATTTGTAGGATTTTTTTTCGATTTCTAGAAGTTTTGAAGAATTAATATTAATAGTAATTTTAACACATAGATTTCAAAATTAGTACTCCTTGAGATTTGCCATATCTGATATAGTCTTTTTTTCTTATTCCTAAAATATATTCACTTGGATTTTGTTTTTGTTTTAAGCTTCATGCGATATCATCTGGTTTAAAAGCATATACATCAACAATAGCTGAACGATTTTCTCAAATATGTCGTGTTGCTTGTGGTGGTCATGGATATTTAGTAGCTAGTGGAATAAAAAATATTAATAATATGCTTGATGCAGGATGTAGTTATGAAGGTGATAATTTTGTTTTATTTCAACAAACAGCTAGGTAGACAAGATAGAAAAATTTCTAGTTGAAAAAAAAAAAATTTCAACAAAATATCTCTAACAATAGATTTCTTCTAAAAGTTATACAACAAGCCGATGATAACGATGAAATCAATAATGAATCATCAATTGCTTATTTATTTTCAACAACATCACCTCCAGTAACAATTGTTAATCTTGATGATTATTGTCGTTTATTTGAATGTCGATCACAAATGTTAGTAAACTATTATATAAATATAAGTAATCGCTTTTATTTTATTTCAAAAAAAAAAAAAAATAATTTAGACTTTTAAAATCAATTTCGAATCAATTAGTTGAATCATCATCAACATCTTATGATAAATCTTCAAAAAATTCTATTGAACTCGTACATATTGCTAAAGTAAAGACTTTGAATTATTAATGAGTATTATTCTTTTTTGTTTTCTATTTCAAATGTTTAGGCTTATGTTGAAACATTTATTTTACGAGCATTATATGATGCTGTACATAAAGCATCTGAACATCAATCATTTGCATTAGTTTTTGAACAAATTTTTCATGTATTTGCTATTCATACATTACGAAATCAAGCAACTGATTTTATTCGAGTAAATAAATTGAATAGATATTTGAATAAATAACAAAATTTCTTTTCTTTTCTTATAATTATATTTCAGTTAAAATTACTTACAGCTGAACAAATTTATCAATTAGAAACTTCTACTCTACCGGATATGTATGCTCGACTTCGACCAAATCTTGTTACACTTGTTGATGCTTTTGATTTTCATAATAATGAACTTGGTAAATATTTGAATTTCTATGATTAAAAATTTATTTATAAAAACTGAAAAAAAATAGATTCATGTCTTGGTCGTTATGATGGTCAAGCTTATGAAGCATTAATGGAACGAGCTCGACTTAATCCATCTAATCGATATAAAGTAAAAAATAGATCATTGAAAATGAGAATAACTGTTTTTTTTTGTTTTGTATAGGTTCATCCAGTTTGGATGTCAATTAAACAAAATACAATGTCAAAACTCTAATAAAGCTTATTTTTCACAGAAAAAAAAACAGAAAAAGTGATTTTTGATTATATAATTTGTTCTTATTGCTTTTTAAAATAAATACAAAACATGATGGGTAGAATTTAATAGATTAATTTTCAAAAATTCGTTTTTGATTAATTCAAATTCGTAGATTCTTAAAAAAGTAATATAAAGTTACTAAAGGATTTAAATAGTTGACGTATTTCTCTATTAATTCGGCACGTCTCCTTTTTTTTCTATATACAGTGATCGTAGAGTCTTGCTACCAGGTAAATAGATTCTAAAGTTCGAATCTTTTGTTTCATAGTATATCTCCATCGATGCTACTCAAACAAGTACTTTTAATCTTTGAAGTTCCCTGTTCAAAATTAATTTTAACGATTAAATAAATAATATGTAATCGAATTTGAGCTTCTAGCTACCGTACTTATGTTTTTATAGACGGAACAATTTTTTGTGACCTTCGGATCCCTGCAGAAGATGCGAGAATATAGAAAAATTCATATATTGAAAATAATATGAGATATTTATAGATTCTCTTAGAGTTTTATGCATAAATCATATCTGAATACTTTGAATAAAAACTTGAGTAAGACATAATTAAAATAACAAACTTTCTTCTTACATCCATCTTCCCGTACTTCCTCCAAGGCTGCGGAGATTAACAAAAGATTTTTCTGTCTATAAATTTGTTCTGAAAGATCTTATCTATGAAATACATAGAACTCGATAGTGCACAATTTTTCAGAAAGTTTTATGTTGATACTCACTTGTTCTGTAGTCTAGAGTTGAACACACACCAGAATATCATATAATCAAGAAACAATCTAGACCTAAGAAAAGGTACTATTGTTACCTATAAAGAACGCTATGATGAAAATTATTAATTATCAAAAATTGAAAAACATTATGAGTATCATATATATGGCTTAAGAATTATAATCAGTATATGAACATTGAGAGCATCAAAACTTGAGGAAAACTTAATTTCTTATATACAATTCAATGCATCACAAATTGCGCTAACAGAATCATGTATATGGTATCCTGGTTCTAGTTTTTGGCTTTTAACAGATTAAACTTATTAATTCACTTCATATTATATAAATAACTTCGGAATATCTATCATTATCGAATTAAAATACTGTTAAACAATATATTTGAATCTTTTGAAAAGTCATATCCTACGTCATCATCATTCAAAGTTTTATTTTGTTTTATTAATAAATGATTAATTATGGAAATAAATATGAATGATTAATTTCTATTTTTTCGAAAGTCATACCAGAATTTTATGAATGATTTATTTATTATAGACTAAGATTAATAAAAAGAAAAGTTTAGTTTATTATTTTATTTTACTCATTGACATATTCATTCTATTTCTTATTGTAAGTTTATCAATGTCTTCATGATATTATTATTTGATATAGACATAACCAAAAATTTATTGCAGGATTAAATATTTAACAGAAAAATTTTCTATGATTCTATTTTACTTAAATATGTACATATTATCATTATTATTTCTATTGAATTTTGTAGAATTTATCATATGAAAATAAAAAAAAAACAAATTTTCGATAGCGTAAAAAACTTTAACAATAATCTATTTTTTATTATTATGTTTTATTAATATTAAACCATGAGCTCAAATCCAGATAGTGATTTCAATAGTCAATAAAGTTTTCTATCTAATGCATTTTATACTAAGATTTCGTATATGAAATATGATGGCAAGATTTCTAACAAAATGTGCACGGTAATTTTCAAACTTCAGAAGACTTTGTCGAAGCTATTTTTTAATAATAATACCGACAGTCTTTTAGAATCTGAAAACTTTTTTAGAAATCTTGTCGTCATAGATCATCTATGAAATCTTAATATCAAATGTATTAGACACAAAACTTCTTTGGCTATTACAATCACTATCTGAGTTTAAGCTCATTGCTTAACATTATGGAAAAAATACAATGAAAAATACATTGTTGTTAAACTTGTTCCCATTACCTTATATGTTACATGTAAAGTGCTAAATCTTTTTATGTTATTGTTATGGCGATATAAATTATCATGTTTACCTAATGAAAGACCTACTATTCAAATTTATAACTCGAATGATCTTGTTGATAGTATCAGTAAAAAAAAACTACTTTTATTAAAATTAATTATTATGTAAATAAACAAAAACAAAACAGAATCAGTACGATTTATATGAAACCTGTGGCCTTAATTCACTGTAATAGACTAACTATTTGAATGTCTTTCGATGTAATACTAGAAAATTAACTTTTATTAACATTAATTCTAACATATATTGGTTGTAAGATTTATAATGAAGAAACAATTTTAATGTCAAACATTTCTCAGATATTCTATGTCTTCCTTTTTATCTAGATTGACAATTACGATTACATTCTATGCAACATTATTCAACGTTTATAGAATGTTTTTATAAAAAACAATATTATATAACACATTGAATATGATGCAACTTTTTAAAAAGAGTAACAGTTGGCAATTTTTTTTTTCGATTACACTTCTACTTCTATCGGCCATTTTATTAAAACAAACAGCTGTGTACAATCGGTCATATATAATTTTTTCATTCATATATTATTTATTCTAATTATTTTTTTTTTCTTGAATAATAAAATTTAAAGAAATGGTTGACATAGTCGAGCCATTGTTAAAGAAAAATTATTAGATTGTTTGCCGTATTGTTTTAAAATATCCATAATTTCATCAGTAGTTAAACCCCATACAGATTGATCATTGATCTAAATAAAAAATTTCTACATACAAAATGTCTGAATAGTCATCTATTAATATATATCTATACTGTGATTCAGTAGCTTTTCTGATCGTAGAGAAGACTTCTAAGTTTTTATTAGCAAAGTCTATAGTCCGATACCTACAAAAATCCCTTTTTTTTCAAGATTTTAATAGTAAAATGCAGAGTTCTGTCTTTTTATAAATATTTGTACAAGATTCTTTTTGAAAAAATGCAGAAACTAGTCTCTAATTTAGTTGCTGTGGAAGTCCTAAAATCGTGTCAGTTTTATTAGTTAGTTTCTTATCAAAGGTTTCCATGAGCAAATAACAAACTGGTTTAAAGAAACGTACCAATTACTTAAAGTTTCCCAAACGTGACCATAGAAACATTCATAAAAAGAAGGTCCTCTGAATAGTGATAAGTTCAGAATAACGAAATAAATTGAAACAATTCAACAAAAAGTCCTGCGTTTTACTTTTTATTCCTCTTTCTTCACAGACGTAGCAGACGTTATCGAGATACAATCACCGAATGTATATTAATAGCGTCTCGTTATTATATATAAACGAATTCTTTATTGTATTTCCCGAGTATAAAGTGAACGGATGTCCAAGAAACGTACACAAAACAGATAGAATAAAACACTCCTTGCAATATAACAATTGCAGCTACATCATGTTTCATATTTTAATCCTGCAAGAATTTCGGTCACTGCTTATTTTTATATCTTGATGGTGAAAGTCATAGTTCTCAGGAGGATTTATAAATTTTAACTTTATGAATAAAAACTTGCAAGTCTTTTCTATTACCAGAAAACAAACTGACTTGATGTGATTTAATCGTAGCGGAGTTGCATAGTTTTCTTTTTGGTAGATGTCGAGGAAGGGTACTACGGCTTGTCCAAACGTAACGCTGTTACGTTTTTGACACACTCTTCTTCAACTGTCTCGAAAAGTTTAAGAGCTAGGAAGTTCATTCAAACGTCATTCGACGCAGCTTATCGAACTTTATTTATCATATAAAAATGGCCTTTTTTGACTGAAGTCTCAGGCATCTAGAAAGGTTTTATCATGGCGTAACGCTGTTACATAAAAGGACCCTTTTTTTCCAGTGCCGCCAAGAAAACTCTAAATTCTTGCGAAACCATTTCTTCAAATGTAATGCTCCGAGAGTCCTTTTTGTAGAGCATTGAATAGGCTTTCAGGCAGTAAAAAAGATTTTCTCTAAAACATTTTTGCTCCGATAAAAAATGCAAAAAACAAACGTAACGCTGTTACGTTTTTCGTAACGCTGTTACACAGTTTTTTGTTGACCAATTTTGAGGCACTTAATGTACTCAGAATGACTTGATTTTTCTAAGTGTTACTGTTTTCTATGTAGACAATCCCCTATGCAAAAATGACATTGATACATCGATCTGAGAGCTCATAAACTGAGCAGGAAGTTGGGAATTGTATCGAAGTCTCCAATTTGTTCTAAGCTGCCAAAGTCAAAACTAAATAGACCATTTTGTAGAGAATTTAATTCTGCATCGAATGGTATGTCTCTTGACCTTTGTTAAAAAAATTTCTTGGTTAAAAAATCCAAAATACGGTTTTTGAAAACTTTAAAATCCAGTTTTCGATATCAAAATCTGATTTTTATACAAAATTAATACCAAATTCGTAATCAGCGTAAAAAACTGCATCTAGTACCCCACTGAGATCTGTCCAACTCGAAAAAAAATTTTTTCAAAACTTGATCAGCGAAGTGTCGCGTTACGTGGACAAGCCGACTAGAGGTGATGGTCCATCTTTTTCGAAATATTTTTCGATTTTTCTCAGTATACGACCTCTAATAGAGTTCAAAACATATTTCTTAACCATGATCATCCACACCTCCTTTCCGAAAATCCTAGCTCCGCTACTGTTTCGCGAGACTCTCTATGTATATTTATTTTGAAATATTTATGAATTATTTTTACTTTTAATATAATATCATTTTGTTGAAGTTGTTTTATATTTAATGATGATTCAATAGCTGTTACTTGACATGTATATTGTTGTTGTTTAGAGTGAATTTGTTTAAAATGTGTTTGTTTTGAACATTTTAAAAAAGGTCGTCGACCATTAAGTATTGAATATGGAACTAATATAGATGCACTTATTTGTACTGTACTTATTGTCATTGTATATAGAAGAATATTTTTTACATCATCCATATTAATAGTTAATGTTGTATA